TCTTCTGAAATGAACCCCAGTTCAATTTGTTCCACATGACTTGCTTTCTAGTTCATTGATCTCCAGCATCTAACACCCTTGCTTTTTTTCCCTCCTCATTTTTTCCACTTTCCCTAATTATTTTTATTTTTTTCCTTTCTACTTCATTAGTCACTTTCATTTTCTTTTTATTTTTAAAATAAAGTCCAGTGCAGGGGAGATGGCTCTGTTGGTAAAGAGCTTGGTTTGTAAGCATAAGGGCCTGAGTCTGATCCTCAGAGTCCATTTAAAAATCCTGGTGTAGCCGTGGTGGCACATGCCTTGTGCCACTTGGGAGGCACACAGGCAGGTGTCCGTGAGTTCAAAGCCAGCCTGGTCTACAAATTGAGTTCCAGGACAGGTTCCAAAGCTAAGAAGAACGCTGTTCTGAAAAACAAACAAACAAACAAGCAAAAAACCCAACAAAATAAAAAATAATAATCCTGATGTGGCAATGTGTTTATAATCCTGGCACTGGGAAGGCAGAGATGGGAATTATCCCAGGGACTCCTGGGCAGCCAATCTAGCCTCATTAGCTAACTATAGCCCCGGGACAATGGCAGATCTTGTCTCTAAAAACAAGGTGGTCTGTGTTTGTGGGAAAGATACTAGAGGTCATTAGTCAGTGCCCACCAGCACACACACACACACACACACACACACACACACACACACACAGAGGCACTGAAAAGAAAAAGATAAGTAAGAAATCAATTAAGAAATTAATTCTACAAATGTTATGTGGTGTCTTGAGAACATGGATTAAGAGCATTTTTGCTATATAACAACCAATAAGAAAATATACTTCACAGATATGACCAACGCTTAGTTAAGAAGACCTTCCCTAGTCCTTTAAGAAGAGTTTGGAGGATCAATAAATACAGACAGTATAGCTCCTACTGAGTATACAGTCTCTTTCACAAATATCCCATTTTCTCTAACCCAATTAAAGCCCCATGGCAGGAGTGACAGAACTCGAGCTCTGTCTCTGTAACAAAGGCAAGTTTGACCAGAATAATTTACAATAGAGGACTGTGCCAGGATTGGAGCAGCATGTGTGTTTTTGTTAACTTTTGTAGATCCATCTAATGAGTAAGATATCCTTGCATTTATTTGGATACTGTGGAGCCTGTGTATTCCTCTCCTGGAGAACTAGAACTTGCAGATCTTGGATCTCTTAGTTTTAATTGGTCTAGCTGACTTCAAGTGTCAAGCTATTTGACAGTTTGGTGAATGAAGCATTTTCATGCCTAGGGTCATTTCCTATCTTACTAGGCATGTTAGTGCCATGCTAATATTCAAAGTAGGTTTGTTTCTGGGCTGAAGAGATGGATTCATGGCTAACATGTTTGCCATGAAAGTATGAAGACAAGAGTTTAGCTCCCAGATCCCGAGTAAATGCTGCGTGGTCCTGGTGACTTGCTTGTAATTCCAGCTTTAGAAGGTGGAGACTGGTCATGTAATGGGGACTGACTGAGAGACCCTGTCTCAAAGATAAGGTGGAGGAGTGATTGAGGTAGATCCCAACATCACCCTCGGGCTCCCAGAAGGAGTACATGTGGAAACATACATTACACGCATGTACAACACATACATATGAAAATGGGATTTAGTAGGTTTATTGATCATTTCACAGCCTATATTCACTGAGCATCCAAGAAGACACATGTTAGTTAATTTCAGATTTTCCCATTAAAAGTTCAGAGCACAGGGACTTTAAAATTCATAGTGATGTATTGAGTTTGCACATAGGTAAGCATTCTGAGTTGGGTTGCCATGTTTCTGAGGTTTTGAAGAGAATTCAAATGTTTTCTTCAGTTTTCTATTTTTAATAATCTCCACCATGCCCTTTCTTAATTAACAGGATTAATCAAAAAGATGATGGCATAAAATTGAACCATAAACTCCCTTCTCAGTCTTACGCCATGGGAGATACAGGCTAACCCAGAGAACAATGAGTCTACATGTTTGGATTTTTTTTCTGATGAATCATGTTAAAAATGGAAGATGTTTCTAGATCTTTCATTTGATATGAACTGCCCTCAAAATCTTAAACTTCCCTGAAATAAAGGCTTACGTATTTTACCATTTGTCAAAATTCTCAAAATATTGCAACATTGAAATGTAACTCATATAAAATCTCAGCATAAATAATGTTTGCCTCAAAAAAAAGTCCTTATTGGTGTCATGGCCTTGGACTATGTCTGTGGTCCTTCAAGGTCCAACTTGCTCTTGGAGAATATGCTAGGAAGCTGCTGTCAGAGGATCCCCAATAAACCTGCCTGTTACCATCAGTGGGGCAGCCTTGGCTTCGCTCACACAAATTCAGAGGCTATTAATATATTCTTTTTTCTTTTTTTTAATAGATTTTTATTGAGCTATACATTTTTCTCTGCTCCCCTCCTTTCCTCTCCCTTCCCCTTCAACCCTCCCCCATAATCCCCATACTCTCAATTTACTCAGGAGATCTTGTCCTTTTCTACTTCCCATGTAGATTAGTTCCATGTATGTCTCTTAGGGTCTTCATTGTTGTCTATGTTCTCTGGGATTGTGAATTATAGTCTGGTTTTCTTTGCTTTATGTCTAAAATCCACTTTTGAGTGAGTACATATGATAATTGTCTTTCTGGGTCTGGGATATCTCACTCAATATGATGTTTTCTAGAGCCACACATTTGCCTGCAAATTTCAAGATGTCATTATTTTTTTCTGCTGTGTAGTACTCCAGTGTGTGAATATACCACATTTTCTTTATCCATTCTTTGGTCAGAGGGCATTTAAGTTGTTTCCAGGTTCTTGATATGACAAACAATGCTGCTATGAACATAGTTGAGCACAGGTCCTTGTGGTATGATTGAGCATCCCTTGGGTATATACCCAAAAGTGGTATTGCTAGATCTTGAGGAATGTTGCTTTCTAATTTTCTGAGAAATTGTCATGATGATATCCAAAAAGGTTGTACCAATTTGCACTCCTACCAGCAACGGAGGAGTGTTCCCTTTACCCCATATCCTCTCCAGCATAAGTTGTCATCAGTGTTTTGATCTTGGCTATTCTTACAGGTATAAGATGGAAGCTCAGAGTTGTTTTGATTTGCATTTCTCTGATGGCTAAGAATGTTGAACATTTCTTTAAGTGTCTTTCATCCATTTATATTCTTCTGTTAAGAGTTCTCTGTTTAGGTCTGTACTCTTTTTTTTATTGGATTATTTGTTCTTTTGATGACAAATTTCTTGAGTTCTTTGTATATTTTGGAGATCAGACATCTGTCTGATGTGGGGTTGGTGAAGATCTTTTCCCATTTTGTAGGCTGCCATTTTGTCTTGTTGACCGTGTCCTTTATTTTACAGAAGCTTTTCAGTTTCAGGAGGTCCCATTTGTTAATTGTTTCTCTCAGTGTTTGTGCTACTGGGGTTATATATTTAGGAAGTGGTCTCCTGTACCAATGTGTTCAAGTGTACTTCCCACTTTCTCTTATATAAGTTTCAGTGTGGTTGGTTTTATATTGAGGACTTTGATCCATTTGGACTTGAGTTTTGTGCATGGTGATAGACATGAATCTATTTTCATTCTTGTACTTTCTGATATCCAGTTAAGCCACCATCATTTGTTAAATGTTCTTTCTTTTTTCCATTTTATATTTTTTGCTTCTTTGTCAAAAATCAGGTATTCATAAGTGTGTGGATTAATAGCTAGGTCTTCACTTCAGTTCTATTGGTCCTCCTGTCTGTTTCTATGCCAATACCAGGCTATTTTCAGTACTGTAGCTCTGTAGTAGAGTTTGAAGTCAGGGATTGTGATGAGAGGCTATTAATATATTCTTGTCTCACTCAGTGAAACTATGTTAAAATTTGAAAGTGATTGGGCCTGGCAAGATAGCTCCATAGGTGAGAATGTGGTGTAGGAGGTTCTTCTGTTTGTGTGTTGCTTTCAATGGTTGAATAAAGAGACTGCCTTGGCCTTTTGATAGGGCAGCCCTTAGGTGGTGGAGTAGACAGAACAGAATGCTGGGAAGAAGGGAAGTGTGGCAGACGCAATGATTTTCCTGTTTGAGACTGATGCTGGTTAGAACCTTTCCCGGTAAGCCACGACCTTGTGGTGCTACACAAATTACTAGATATGGGTTAAAGCAAGATGTGAGAGTTAGCCAAGAAGAGGCTAGATATAATGGGCCAGGCAGTAATTTAATTAGTACAATTTCTGTGTGGTTATTTTGGGGGTTAAGCTAGCTGGGCAGGATGAAAAGCAGGCCCGCTCCTCCTCATACTACAAGGATGCTTGCTGGTAAGCCTGATGATCTGAGTTCCATACATGGAAGCTACACAGTGGAAGAAGGGAATGGAGTCCTCTGACCTCTAACACATGCTGTGGCATCTGGTCTCCCCGTCAGTCATAAAATAATAGCATGGAAAATTGTAATTAATTTTTTTATGCCATTAATATTTAGGCTTTTTAAGCCTGGATAGCTATGGATGGATAGCTAAGGAGTGTGCTAAGGAGTAGGTAAAGGTTACTCAGAAGTCTCATACCTGGTATGAAGTATTCTACTGGGCCACACCCCAGACCTCTGCTTTCTATCTATCAATTGCCTTCCTAGGTTGATTTTGCTCATTTCATTGTGAATTCAAGAAGAGACGACAAGATATCATTCTACCATAAGCATTCTAAAAACATTGCTGTAAGAGAGCCTTTAAATGGTTGGAGAGGCTCAAGTTTTTGAGTCAAAATTTTTGATATGGAGATTTTTCAGATCTTATTTGGCAAACTCAAAATTACCCAGATCAGTTCTAGAGAATGGTCCCTGGTGGCTGCCATACAATAATAAATATCATACAATTGTCCGTTGACTTTTTTTTTTTATTCCTGGTCACTTTTTCAAATAATTCTGGGAGAATTTTAATAAAAACAAAGTGAAGAGAATGATGATTTATTCACAATGCTTCCCCTCCTCTTCTTCCTCCCGATTTTATTTGTGGAAAACAGGTTGCGCGGCGGGCGTCGTCTTCTTCACCTAAACTGAGAGAATCCTCGTGCTCTTTCTCTTCTCTGGAGACTGCAGCAAAGGCACCCAGCCGGGTTTCTTCCTCGGGATCTAAAGAAAGACAGTCCTGGCTCGACATAGTCAACAACGCACCTGCTGCTGAAGATGTGGGGCATCCCCTGACACTTACTGTACAGGTTCACACACCTTCAGAGGCAAGCAATTGCCCGGCCCCAGACAACAGCTCCGTCACTTCTGAAAGTGGTTTTTTGAACTCTTTATCTAGCGATGACACTTCTTCCTTGAGCAACAATCCAAACCATCTGACAGTTCCAGACAGAGCTGCCGGCTCAAGGATTGTGGATAGAGGTAAACCAGGACACTGCTTGCCTTTCTTTACATGGTGAATATTTGTTGGGAGTATTAGAGAACTCTGATATAAATTTGTAACTAAAATGTTTAAACACATGAATGGTGGTTTGATAATTAGTCACATGGGGCTTAGCCTCCAGCTCCTTTTGTAGAGTTTGCCTGTGGCAGCTCCTGTTGCTAGGTCATGAATTACCTGCTATCAGGTCAGTAACCAAATGCTTTAGACCAGTGGTCCTCAACCTTCCTAATGTTCCTATCCTTTAATACAGTTCTATATGTTGTGGAGATTTCAGCCATAAAGTTTTTCTCATTGTGGCTTCACAACTGTAATTTTGCTACTGTTATGAATCATAATGGAAACATCTGTGCTTTCCAGTGCCTTAGGCGACCCCTGTGAAAGGGTCCTTTGACCCACAAAGGGGTCATGACTCACAGGTTGAGAAGCATTGCTTTAGACTATGAGGCAGGTAGGTATGTGACCATAATGTAACACTTTTCCATCAATTTGAGAATGATTTTCTCCTTTTTTGTTGGTTTTGCGCTCTGCAGGTTTGTGGTAATTAAGCCCCAGTGATCTGTGGGATGGATTTATAATGCTTGGATATTGTCAAATGGGTTTGGAGCAGCCATTGCAGAGGGCCAATGAGTTGTTTCCTAAAAGTTTCTGTGTGGTTAATAGAAGGCAAAATCTGCATTTTGGAGGGCAATACCTTAATACAAAGGAGGCAGCAGCTTTTATTCCTGGACAGCAACTTCCTCTTAACAAAGGAAATGTCTGTGTGTATAAATCAACAATGTTTCTTTAAATACTCTGTGATAATGCTCATATTTGATTCATGACATTTGTGACAAGTCTTTTCTAATCATGCCTCATTCATTCTGGTGTAAAACAAGTTTATCTGGTATGTCTGTGAGCCAGTGGAGAATGATGGATTTGTGCCATAAGTTTTCAGTGTACTGCTGAAAGTTAGCTTGCTAAATTCCGGCACAAAGTTTCAGGAATTGCCCAATGATATGAATGACAGCTCTTTCTCCCCTACTCTAAGGAGGGAGGTTGTCCTTAAGTTCTCGAGTTTGGGGGCTAAAGAGATGACTCAGTAGTTTAGAGCACTTGTTCTTCTTTTGGGACCAGAGTTTAGTTCCTAGCACCCATTTGGTGGCTCACAATCACCTGCACCTCCAGCCCAAGGGGATCTTATATCCTCCTCTGGCATCCATGCACATACACACACACACACACACACACACACACACACACACACACACACAGAGAGAGAGAGAGAGAGAGAGAGAGAGAAAGACATGAATAGATAATGCAATCCATTCTTTAACGAAGTATCAATTTTTCAGATATACTCTACTAAAATAATTTTTCAAAGAGAATAATTTAGGCCAGGGATCACAGCTGTAGTCCAGGGTGTAAGCATGTGTGTGTTGTTTTAATATATGTGAATTTGAACATCCTGGCACGTAGCTCATTCTCAAAGTCCCCCCAGCTGTCATTGTTCTCTAGAGCTCTTTCTGTGGGTGCTTTACATTGAATAGTATTTTATGTTCATAACTCCAATATCGGCCAACTACTCACTTTTCATTAGAAAACCTCCACTGAAGAATGAAGTGACTGGCAAGCCAAACAGTTTCTAGAGGTGGGCGAGTAGGTAGGATGGGTAAGAGACAGGAAGCATTACCATCGAAGAATAAGGCAGAGATGAGGACTGTTCTATGAGGGATGGAAGGAGTGTGTTCCGTCTGGCCACAAATACGTGAAGGGATGGTGTGCAAACAAAGTCCTGGACGTGTTTCTCCCCAAGATGATACAACTGAAGCCAGCAGGATAATCAAATGGGAGGTGTAAACATGAATTAAGAAACATTTTTTTTTGAAGTTATGAGCTGTTCAAGTTAAGGTGACTTGTACCTGTGTGTCCTCATCATTTGAAGATGGCCATTTTCATTGAGAGTAGAGTGTGTATTATGTAGTGATAGTATTTTTGTTCTTGTGACAACATAAGGAATGTCCAAGTATTGATCTTAAGTGACCTTCGGTTTGGTGCTTACAAGGTGCAGATATGGCTTTGCACACATCCAAGAATATATGGACAGCACAAATTAGATTAAAGGCTTGTTTGTTTGTTTTTAAAGGACATGAAATTGGGAGGGTAGGGAATGAGGATTTGGAGCTTGGAAGAGCTGTGGAAGAGGAAGTGAATATGATCAAAACATGGTACAAAGCTCTCATAAAAAATAAACCAATGAAAATAGCTGTAAAAAAGAAGACACTGATGTAAAGAATGGGGAACCAATCTAACTATTGTTTCCCCTTTAAGAACTTACCTACTCATTTGATTAGAAGGAGAAGTAAAAAGAAAAGGAGGGGTTGGTAAGATAACTCAGCAGGTAAAGCACTTGCTACATAAGCCTAATTATCCAAGTTTAAGCCCCTGGCCAAACATAAAGGTAGAAGAAAAGAGTTGACTCTAAAAAGTTGTTCTTTTAATCTGCACATATATTGTGGCACATATGTGCACAGCACACCTCCTATGTATGCAATAATAATAAATAAATAAGTTTAAAAAGAGGTAGAAATAGCCCTCTCCTCTTTGTGACAATCAAGACTTCCAAAACATCAGAGATGCTAAAATTCCATTTACATTCTTTCCCAAGAGATAACCCTACAGATTGAGTTTCCCTTTAGGATTAACAAACAGAGTCATGAGAAGATGCTTGTGTTTCTCATCCCTGCCTAAGTGGCATCCTGGGAATTCATGTGCTGAGAAATCCAGCTGGGAGCTAACAGCTCTTTTAATCTAAGAATAAAGAGACCTGGTAGTAATCAGTTTTGAATTACACACAGAATGACCAACAAAATCTAGGTGATTTTTCAAACAGCTTGATGGAAAGGTGTTTCTCCTGGTAGAGAGGAAGAGAAAATGAAGGTATTTTCCCTCACTAGTTTGATGGCAGTTGCCATATGTTAGAGAATTCTTGCTGCTGATTTTCTCCTGCTGTTGGGGATTTGGTTTCATTCCCAGAAGAGCTGAACCACATCAAGTCGTCTCCATGGAAACGGCAGCCCAATCTTCCCTTGTGATTGCTGTGACTTGATGTTGAGTAATCAAATTGGGTGTTGCGCGTGTATGTGTTTGCCCGTTGGAGAAGAAGGTAGCTTTTTTGTGTGACTTCGAAAAATTGTTGTTTTAACTTTCCAATAGAGAAGTCTCTGAAATTCCAGTGTCTAAAATGCTATGCTGAGTAAAACGGTTTGAGAGCAGGCTTGAAGTTTCAGTGCCATCCATGAGAGGAGTTAAAGTTTTAGAAGACTAGGACCTAGTCTTGAGACACATTTTCCAGGAAAGAGGAAAATTTTTTTCTTTTTATCCTAGAAAAGAATCTTAAAGGTTAATAACCGAGTTCTGAAAAGAGCAGACAGCGTGTATTATAGCCTTTCTTTTATCTAGACAATGGAAGAAATATTTTGCAGTTGGTATGCAATTAAAATTGTGGTTGCTAGAATCTTATTCTGAATTCAGATATCCTTTTAGACTTGTCTCTCTGTAGTGTAAGCCATTAGAAACAGGGGAGGGGATGCTAATGACATGGGCTTGCCTTTCTCTACTGCAGCTTTCAGATTGCAATGACTCTAGGGATTCTCCACCAAACCGTTCAACAAAGCATAGCTGGAGAAGAGGTGGTGGGGTTAATGGCATGCTCATCTCATCTCTGTTTTCCTGTGGGCTCTTCCTTTCTTTGGGCAATGACTCTTTGACCATTGCTGTGAAATGTAAGATTTACAAGTCGATTAAAAAGAAACTAAGTCTGCTACAGAACTCAACTCAATTTGGCATTGCCGTTATTATTACGAAGATGGTTCTAACGTGTACTCATGTACTAACACAACTCTAAAGTGTAAAGATGAGTGTGCTAAAACTCCTTCACATCTGGTGGGGTGAGTGGGAGGATAAGACATGATTAACAAAAGAAAGCCAGGCAGAAAAGTGTCACAGAGGAGATACACAGGGCTTTACCAAAGTAGGTACACAAAATACCATCCCACCCAAGGGAGTCCTGTGCATGGAGGTGGGACATGGGGAAGGAAGGTAGGAAGGAAATTGGGTCGATATTGAATGATGGGCGAGGCATCATTATTCAAAAGATAATGCATTTGTAACTGAGGTTATGATATATAGGGACCTGTAGTTTCGAACGCTCCTGTAGTCTTAGACCATAGGTTTTTATAGGATAAAGGGAAGCCGGAACTAAGAGGGTTAGGAAGCCTCTGAGGTGCTCAGGGTAAAGGTAGAGACTGGAAACAAAGGAGAGATGGAGGAGTCTGTGTCCTGCCTCATCTCAGTCACTGTGTGCTCAGAATTTCATTTAGTTCAGAGAGTATTTCCCAGTGATCCTATTTTGGAGTAGAATGAGAAATGATTTTAACATGGTGATAAATATTTACTAATAGGAACAGCTTGTATATGTGACAGTAGGTTGTCATGGCTTAGATCTCAGGCATGGATGGCTGACTCACTATGTCTTTCATTGCTCCCAGTTAAGCGCCAAAGATCTCTCTCAATTACCATAAAATAAACTGACCAGGTCATTCCTGGTACTTATATTTTGGTCACCCTTTTATCCCGTCTTAGTTCTATACTTTCTACTGGGCCTGAGGAAGTAGGAGTGGGAGGCTGTGCCAACTCACTGGAGCAGGAGTTCTGGAGCTGGTGACAAGTGGAATCCAGATTCCAGAAGTAGGAATGGGTGACAGCTGAGAAGAAGCAGAAGCCAGAGTTAGAGGTTGTAACTCATGCTGGAAGACGGGCATGCACAGCAGAAAACACATATTCGGCGAAGGCGCAGGAGAATGCTCCGTGTTGAGAAGGGCATTTTCAGGAGAAGGTTTTTATGTAAACATATCCATGAATTGAAAAAGCGTGTTAAGAGAAGTCTGCTCTGGGGGCCAGCTACACCAGATACATACACCCATGCACAAGGTTGTGACTC